AGTCGCAATCGCGTCTGGAGAGCATTTAATTGAACAAGTGAGCACTTTATTAAAATGTCACTCAACGTTTTTAGCTGTAGTAATGCGAGAGCGAGACAGAGATAGAAAGAGAGAGAGAGAGAGAGAGTTTGTACAGGGCATAGGGCCTGGCGCTATGTTGACGAGGCCTGGGTAAATTTCATTATCGTTGTGTCAGGCATTTGACAGCCAGTTTCACCTACATTTAACAGGTAACGGAGCTGCCGTTGGCTCACCTATGCATATTTAATAATATTTTCGTTTTTATGCAGCTGCAGTTCAACCAAAATTTTGCAACTAATCCGCAAGCAGCGAGCCCAACAAACACAACCTAATAAAACAACAGAAACAACAACAACTACTGAAATAGTTAACTAGAAACTACACAGCACAACAGAATTGAGGCAGACTCTTAGTGTAGGGTGGTGAGAGTGGAAGAGAGGGGAGAGAGGGGGTAAAGGGCACACAACAGTTGGAGAACTCGTATATCATGCGGCTTGCTTGGCTAACAAGAAACACACTGGCTACAGAAAAAACTTTTGAAATGAAAAAGCAGTCAGCATATGAAATGAGTTTATTACTCAAATGTTCACACACACATACACACACACGGGCACACACACACGCACTGGCTAGCAGGAGTCGAAAAGTGCGACTCGCTTTAAGTGGTGCACCATTGTACGGGAAACAGGATATCGTCCTAGTTGTGGCGCCATTTACCATTGTTGAGTGTGCATTGGTTAGAGCTGGTCCAAAATAGTTGCTTTTTATTTATAAATATTTAAAGTAACGGCTTAATGAAAGCGCATGCAAACATTTGCGTGTCTCTCGCGCGCTGTCTGTGTGTGTGTGTGTGCGTGCTATAATATTTTGCAAAATGGCGGAAACATTTATGCAACGTCATCGTCAGAATGCTATGAAAAGGAAATGCGCCAAAAATAGGACAGTGTTAATTGAGCGAGACGCGACAACAACAATAGCAATAACAACAACAACAACAACAGCCATTTCCAGTACAAATCGGATGTGTTTTTGCTTTAGCTGCGGAAATTGGTTTGTAGATCTATCGCACAGATACGTATTTAGCCGCATCCAAATTGTAAATTGAAGATGCGCACGTGCATTGCATATGCAAATTGTTTGTCGTCCTCCAGTCGAGTACCTGAAATTGCTTTTACTTGCGACTGACGACGCCTCAAACCCTCAAAATGGAGCAAAACTCACCAACAGCTGGACGAGGGCGATCTAAACAGTTCAGAGAGAGAGTGAGAGAGAGAGAGAGAGAGAGAGAGAGAGAGAGAGAGAGAGAAAGACATATTTCTGACAGAGATTAGCAAAAATATTTTAATTAAAATTTTGAATGTAGTAAATTCACTTTGAAGTTATCTGTTGTTATTGTGAATTGATAGTGTAATCTTTAGTTTTAGAATATTAAATATTAAATCAATTTTTTTTAATTTTCAGAAAAATGTATAAATTTATATAATCGAATTAATAAGTGAAGTTTTAATATTATTGTTATTATTATTATTATTATTATTATTATTATTAAGTATATTCCTATAAATTTATTGAAAGAACAAGTAAAAAAATATTAATATCTATAAAAAATATAACAAAAAAATAATTTACTTAAAAAAAAAATTTAAGTTGGTAAACATATTTTTCCAATTATAATTATATTTTATATAGCTTTCAATTTTATTTATATTTTATGAAGGAATATCTTTGAGCCAGAAAATATATTAATTATTAATTATTAATAATTAATAAAATTATATTAAAAATTAAATAAAATCATTATTTAAAGCACAACACTTTTGTATACCGTAAATTGATTTAAAATAAAGTGTTCCATATAAAAAAATAAAATGTTGTTAATAAATGTTTGTCTGACAAAATTAATGAAACAAACATTCAAAAATGTTTTTTTCTATTTATCCACCTTGGTATATATAACTTCTTCATTTCATTTAGTTATATCATTCTTTAAATTTTAGCTATTTAATCCATTTAACTAACTATTTATAAACCTATCTTTATATATGTCTATATTTCGCCTTTTCTACTCATCAATCCATACTTTGACTATGTAATATAAATTTTTAACTTTAACTTTATATATTTGTCAAATAACTTGAACCGCCCTCGCTGCAAATATGCAGAGCACATTAGCTTTAGTCCTTAGTTTTAGTTTCAGCATTTTTTCGCAGCAATTTCTTCCAGTTGGCCGGTCGGCACATAAAAACGTAGCAACTTGACAGCGAGAGGGCACAGAGAGAGAGAGAGGGAGCGGCAGAGAAAGTGTAGCCTTTGGGCGTGGCCATTTGGCTGATGTGGCAGGTCGTTGGCTGCATTAGCTGCAAGCGGCTCAAGTGCAAAATCGAATTTACTCGTTGCTAACGGCATTTCGTCTTAACAGCCAAGTGCAGTAAGTACCAAGTGCCTCAACACCCCAAACCAACTTGTCCAAGTCGCTGTCAGTGGCATTTGCCTGCCTTAGCTTCCCATCAACTTCCCACCCTCCCGAGCCCTCGAGCGCAGCGACGATGCCGATAAGCGCTTGCAACATGCGTGCCAAACACACGTGAGCGCTCCGATGTTGGCCAGCAACAAAAAAATACCGAAAAAAAAAAAAATCTGACAAGAATGGCAAGGGCGACGGCGCAGAGGGGCAGCTGCCTGCCTCAGAGGGCAGCACCTTTACCATTAACCCGACTGTGGCTCTGCCTGTGGCTGTGGTTCCACCTGCCACCGCTGACGGCGGCACAGCTTCCCTGCTATTAGTTGGCGCCCCTCCCCTGCTGCCAGTCCCTTGGCCAACTAACTGTGGCTTGTTGTTGTTGTCATACTCGCTCGTGATAGGAGAAGGGCATATTAGATTTCTATATATGTATAATATGTATGATTATAATTATTAAATAATAATTATACTCGCCATTTAATTAGTTATATTTTTAATTCTTGTTTTTCTATTCAGTTATTTTCATTTATTAATTTATTATCATTATCATTATCAATTTAAAAAAATATATATATATATATTACTTTGTGACAAACTGTAAATTATTTTATATTATTATTATTTTTTATTATTATACTTTTATTGAACATTTTATTAATAATCATATAATGATTTTGCGACAAGTTTATTTAAATTTTAATTGACACATACGATGTAAATATATTTGTAGTGGAACAACTCGAAAATACCGATATTAATCGAATGCATCTGAAACTATTCAACGTCCCGGACCATCCGATTAACTTTAATTAATTTTAGTCAATGAGCTTATTATTTAAGTTAAATCATATGGCAAAAAAAAAATCATGATCTTAATTTTAAAATATAAATGTTTATAAAAACTACAAAAAAATAAATATATTTCTTATTTGTATAGTGGAAAGTCAATTCTTAAAATTAGCAACATACATTTTTTTATTTGTTATTAACATTTTTTTTTATTATTATAATGTTTACGATGATATCCAAATTTGTATGGTATAACACAATGACCTTATCCATTTTTACATTCTCTTCAATTATTCTAAGCTCTCGAGCGAGTATGAAGCAGTCAGATTACTTTATTTGCCCAGCTTGTTGTTTTTGTTGCTAGCGTTGGCTTTGTTGTATAAGTGCAACATGAATTGTGCATACCAAGGAACCGTCCACAGCTGCCCCAAAATCTACCGTTTGTTGCTCATCTGCATCTCTTCATCTCTCACACACACTCCATATCTCTCTCTCTCTCTCTCTCTCACTCATGCTCCTTCTCCATCTCCCTCTCTCCAGCAGCCATTGTTGTTTTGGTAGCTGTCGTTAGAGCTGGCCACAGAACTAATACACTGACAATGTTCTTCCACCTGTGTGAGTGTGTGGCCTGACATGTGTATCAGTGGTGTGTGTGTGTGTGTGCGTGCAGTTGACTATGTATCCGAATGTTTGTTAGTCTTGTTTGGCCCGTACTAAGATATATGGCAGCTGCCAAAAGATGCAAAACATGACTTTTCTATATGCGAGCAGGCAGAAACATGTCCCGCTGTGTGCCTGCCCCACATTTGAACATATCGAGTGGAAGCTAGAGAGAGAGAGAGAGAGTGAGAGAGAGAGAGAGAACATATGACAGTTCTTGGCATTGTTGTTATTACGTATTTAGTGGAATGGCACGTCTTATGATACTGAACAGACTTTCCCAGGAAATTTGCTGCTCTTCGTAAAAATTCAACCGTAGTCCTCAAAAACAAAAGGAAATGTAAGAATATGCCATTAGACAGGTGCGATAATTAATTGTACGAAATGAATTTCAAGAGCTAAAATAAAATGTAATTAGTAAAATAAGTTCATATTATTTTCATCAACTCCAAAGTTCCGTCTGATATACAAAAAAAATAATAATTCGGGAAAACATACCAATTTTACTAAAAAAAAAAAAAAATAATAATAATAATGAAAATTATTTTGGGTTCTTGAAATTATTTATTTCTTATGTTTCTATTATTTATATCTGAATGAATAACTAAAACCAGAAACAAATGTAAAAACTGATAAATTGGAAGAAATACGAAATAACAGTCAGAATAAACATATACACGCAGGGACAGATGAACAGAGGGAGGGACGGACAGATGAAGGGGTGGATAAACAAATGGAATGAGGGACGGATAAACAGAAGGATATAGAGAAACGGCAAGATAGATGTAGGGACGGACGGTCGGATAGAGAAATGCGCAGATGGAGAGATGGACGGATAGAGGAACGGACGGTCGGACGGACACATTGACCAGCGAACGGACAGATGGAGGGACAGACAACAAAATTGTGGGCAGGACGAACAGATGGAAAGACGGACGGAGAGAGACGGAAGGGACGGACGGACAGAAACGGACAGACTGGTGGCGCGAAATCGACACAGCTGTATATCCTCCATCCTTTGTCAAGGAATACAGAGTATCGGAAACGCCAACCGACTTCTGTTAAACAATTAGGAATCTTTCTTAAATGTATTTATAAAACACATTGTCCAGTTACAACAAATGCGGCTTTCTTTGCTGTGCCTGTCTTTGTTAATGACCTTGATATTCGTAAATCCTCTTTGTCCTCTGCCAGCCTTAGCTCCGCTACGCCAATGCGTTCAGTCAGCCGCGCCAAGTCCTCGCGAAGCTTCGCAATTGATGACCGCTTCTTCTCCAGAAACACTAAGGTGTCGTCGTAGTCTGCCATTAGAGGTGGATGGAATAGCAGTGGGCCAGAAGTTTTCAGCTTGTGCAGATCCCGTTGAATTCTACTATGCGTCAGCTTGCCCAGGTAGATGAGCTTCTGACACTGGGCTCTTTTCTGTTCGCTTTTCCTCATCTGGTCTTTCAGGCGGAGGTAGTTCCAGCGCTCCATGAATGCCTTGCACTTGTGATGGGCCAGCGCATGCATATTAAACTTGATTTTCTGATGAAGGCGATGCAGTTCCTTATTGCGATCTAAGATGAGTGACATCAATTGATAAGATTGAGTTGATATAATCGTAATATTGTTGGTTTCTAAGTCCTATACCTTCGATTTTAGTGCTCAGCGCAAGGGTCTCTGTCTGCTGGTTTAGATAATCCTGCATTTTGAGTCCACCGCCAAGATTCTCGAGCTTATCGGATTTCTAAGTAATGAGAGAGTTATAATAGAGTACGAGCGCAGGCCACAGCCCACAGCCCACAGCCCAGAGTTGAGTCTTACATTTTGAATATCAGCAGATCGATGCTGAGTGTTGAGCAGCTCCAATCGCATTTCGGACAATTCCTCTCTAAAGGCGGCCATCCGACGCAAAGTGTCGTCCACATAGATGGACAAATGGGTAGAACTGTCTTTGGTTAGCAGAGTGTTTCGAATAACGTGCTCCAAGTGCACTACCTTGAGGGCGGAGTCCATGCGGGTCGCCTCAAGCTCCTCGTTCAACTTGTTCGACTGATTGTGGGCCTGGTCCAGCGTCTTGTTCTGGATCTCAAGCAGTCGATCAAGCTGGAAGAGGGACTTTCGCCAGCGCTTGTAGTTGAGCTTATCGAATTTATTCTCAACTGTAATATAAGTCATTTCCTTCCTGCGCAGGAAGTGATCCTTCAAGCTTGCTTCCAAAGCACGCCTTTTGCAGGCCACACCTCGGAATTGGGTTATGCAGGCAATGAGCTGCTTCATCAGTTTCTCCTTGTCCAGGGAGTGTTGGAGCTGATAAACTTTGTCCTCGACCGTTGTGACAGCTCGACTGATCAGCTCTTGTAGGAACGATTCGAGGATTTCAGTTTGCTGTGTGCTGGGATCGGGGTCTATTATGCAGTGCATGCTATTTTGACTTGTTGAGTATGTTAGTCTCCTCGACATATCAGCGATCATAACCGATTTTGGCCGCGGCTCAATCACATTGACTTCATCGCTACTACTCAAACTGTTCAGTGATGAAAAGCCGGTGTATAGTCCCGTTGTCTTCGAGCTCACTGTCGCACGGCCTACGCTTTCAGCATAGACGCTCTGTGCATCGTACTCATCGGAAGTGGATATGTCATACGCTCTCGGCGGTTTAGTTTTGCCAGTGGGCTTATCCAGCTTCTTTTGCGCAGCTATCGAATGGAAGCTACTGGCTCCGGATAGCTCATTGATGTCGGGTATGGGCACCAGATTCGCCATCAGCTCGTTCCGCACGTAGATTTCGTCACCCCGTAGCATCGACGGAATAGACAAAGTCGAGTTTGAGGAGGAGCCGTCATCCGAATGGGTAACAATCTTCTTCTTCTTGCGTGAACTTCTTACCGGCTCGGAGTGCTTGATCACCTTAAAGAGATGTAGCGATGAGCTGTGATCTGGGAGTTGGTTGCCCACCGAATGCGAACGATATGGGCCGTCCACTGAAATAGATCGTCCGCTGACTCGGCTAATCCTCGAAGAACTGTGCACGTCATCATTATTCACAGTTGATCTATCTGCGAATTGTGACAACTTTTTCTTTGGCTTTGGAGATTTTTTGGCAATTTTTAGCAGAGCTTTTGTCTTAATGTTCTTTTTGGTAGCTTTTTTCGACACAATTGACTTAACACTTTTCCTCTTCTGGTAGGCCAATTTCGAGATTGATTTCCTGGTTTTCTGGAGGACCTCGGTATCGGCGGAGGATGCGCCGTCGCTGGTGTCGGTGGAGTCATCCCCAGTTTCGAAGTCAGTTGAAGCATCCTCTGAGAGTCGGCCATCGTTGAATGAATCCAAATTATCCAGATAATCCTTGCTGGATGTATCCACATTATCTTCGTCCGGCTGATCGACAAACTGTTGCAAGAAATTCAGTTTGGGTTGTACAAGTGACTGCTGTGTTGGCTCTTCGGTAATTTCTTTGGAAGTTTCGTCAGCCAGCAGTGTAATCGGTGAAAATTCTTTCCAACTCAACTGCCTAGACATGTTTTTAAGAACAACCAACAAAGCGACAAAAAATAAAATCAACAAACAACTAAATCATAAAAATAAACAAATCAAATGAACTTTTCGACAGGGCATCAAAAAGTGTAATAAGGCACAATACCTGAAGCAAACATTCCAAATCGAACAAAAGTGGCTAAGTTTTTATTTTTATTTTTATTTTATTTTTTTTTTTGCGACGACTGTGCGCGCCATATTAGATTATCGAAATGCCGTCAACAGCAAGTTTTCAGTTTAGCCTAACGGAGCAACGATACGCAGCTAGTCAGCCCAGTAACAACTTTTTCAGGCACTACATACACATGCACACACACACACACACTCACACATAAACTGACAATTACCGCAACGAAAAAATCCCTCGTTCTAACAGAGCCACAAGCATTTCCGGCTAAGCTCCATTTTCATACACCCTGCAGACATTCCAAGCGGATGAACGTGATCGAGCCCAAGGAAGCGGAATAGATATACATATATATGCTTTAGATTCGTATGAGGTAACTATGTTAGCTTAAATTGTTAAGTGGAGAATCAAAGATTACTATAGCCTAATTATATTCTAATGGAAATCCTACTTATTTTCACATCAAGTAAAATTTGGCATTTGCACAACACCGGATTCATGTCAGATTTAACATCCACGAAAATCATTATATCCCACCTCACACCTTGGCAATTATCGTGATTTTATTCATTTGTTTCTCTTCTTCATTCAGCGCTCTTCTCTTTTATCTCTGCAGCTCTGCATTTAAAAACGTTTATAGTCACAGCGTAAGCCCATCAATTATCTAATAGCTATATGTAACAAATCAAAATATATATATTTCTATATATGTATAAATATTCTATAATTAATATATTCAGAAATTAGCAAAAACTATTTCTTTTTTTATTTTTATTTAAGTATACAGCGATATATAAATATTGAGATATTAAATTTTTTTTTTAAATTTAGATTAGTATATTTAATATTTTTATATTTATTTTTCATATTTAAATTCACTAGTGTGTAAAATAAATATTATTTAATTATTCATGTATATTTTTGAATTAATTTTGAATATTTATTTTTCACATTTAAACTAATATATTAAGTAAATATTATTAAATTAAATTATTATAACAAAATATTATTTAATTTATTATAAATAATTTTTAAGTAATAAATTTATATATTAAAATATTTTATATTAACAATCATCATGATATAGGGATATCGTCTGTATCGTCATTATTCCATTCCATCCGAGTTCTTCTCTCAAGCCACAACAGTTAATTCCCTTATTTTGTACAATTTTTCTATATATCTGACTCTAGTTTTGCCATTATTCTTTAATTTTTGTTAATTTTTGTCTAACTAAAATAAAAAAATAAACACTTAAATAAAATTTCGTCAGCTCTTTTCGTTCTAGGATATTTTCTAGTCGCAAACTTTTGCTGTCCTGTTTTGTTGCTTCATTTCTCTGTTTTTTTTTTTTTTTTTTTTTTTTTTTTTGTAGCTGGCTGACTGACTTGACTTGCCTGGCACCTGCTGAGGTGGCCCGTTTGGCCTTCATCTCCCGCCCCATGCCGCTGCTGGCACGTTTCTGGCTGGCCTGTTGTTGGTTAATATCATCACTCATGTATGCCGCATACTAAAGAGAATTTATCATTTCTGCTGCGGCAGCTGTAAAAAAATAGAGGGAATAAGAACGAAGCCAGCAGCAGTAGCAACAACAACAACAACAACAACAACAGCCCTCGAACGGTTCTTTGGCTGGTGCTGCTGCTGCTGCTGCCATTGTCGCTCAAGTGTTTCGGCAGCCCAGCTTACCTATACACACAAATCTATCCATCTATCCATATATATTTATACATACATGTGTGTGTGTGTGTGTGTGCCTGTGGCTTTGGCTCCGAAGTTTCACCTGCTGCTGTTGCTGCATATTCACAAAATTCGTTTACGTTCACGTTGCCCCCATTTGCTAAGTAGATTTCGGGCTACCTGCATGCAGGCAGCTCGTTACAGCTGCAGCGCTAAGGGAATATATCTATATTCCCTACTCGCTCTCTCTCTCTCATCCCTCTTTCTCGCATCTCTCTTTTTTTACAGCTTTTCAGATATACATATATATTTTTTTGTCGCTCTGCTTTCAGGTTGGGCTGAGCGGATTCTGTCAAATTGCCTAAAACTTTCTTTATATTTGATGTAATGAATTCCCGACGTGCTGCTGTTGCCCCAACTCAACCCCCTCTCCCCCTCCCTCACTAATGCAGAGAGTGCACAGTGGGTATCTATAGATACAGCACACCTGCATTGCTAGCGACAAAGAACGCAAAGCAAGCACCAGCCACACATTGCGTATGCGTAATGTGTAACAGATATGCACGCTAAATTTATTCTCCCACTCTGCCTCTGTGGCTAGCACATGCGTGTGTGTGTGTGTGTGCGAGTGTGTGCGAGTTCCGTTTCCGCAATTAAAATGTTGATTACATGAAGTACGACTGCCGCTTGTTTGTTTGCCGCTGCTGTGGGCGCTACAAAGGAAAACGGAAATTATGTGTATGCGGGCGTTAGCGCTTAGCTAAGCCTCAACAACAACAACAACAATAGCAACAGCAACTGCAGCACCAGCAACACCATAAAATGTAACCGTTCGCTCGTCTGATAAGATTTACGAGCTCCGCTTTTATGTCGTCCCAACTCTGAGCTATAATTAACCAAGTAAATGAGATAAAGAATTTGCCAAAAAAGAAATATATAAATAAAACCAAATAACAAAGGCAGCAGCCACACACTCGATAAATTTAGCATAAAAAACAGCCAGCACGATGAGCAACAAACTGATTTGAAGCCATATGAAGGCAGTATAAAATCATGCTTGAAAAATAAAAATTTGGAATAAGACCAAAAATAATTTGAAATATTTCAGTAAAACACATTTGTCATTTCGTTGTCTTGCCCGAAATAAAAAAAAAAATAATAATAAATAAATAAATTCTTGTGATGAAGTAAACATATGTAATAATGTTGTGTGGGTGGCACTTTTCTATTATTAAAGCAAATATTCATTATAAAATGTCTGCTCTATACTAGACAGTCTTTGCTTACTGGTCAGAGAACCTAGTATATAATTAAATTGCTAAAACGAGCTCGTTTAATAACAAGCAATTTTTTGCTCTCTGAGTTTTTTCTCAAAATGTAAGTGAGGACATCGAGAGCAGAAAATGGGTACGTAAAGCTAGATCTAGCTGGAAAAACTACTAAAAAGGACAAATCGTGATTTTTCAAGTTTTTTGTATACATAAATATACAACATTAAAAAAAATATATATATATATATTAAGAAAAAGTTACAAAAATGAACAAAACAGAAAAACAGAAAACCAGAAAACCCCAAAACCTAGAATTGAAAAAAGACATATTTAGCCGAAAAAGGCTAATATGACATCAATGTCTGCGGGCTATGCATATAACATGTGCTTCTGCAAACTGTTCATTTCCATACGATTTGACTTCGTCCAATTAGATCCTCGCGGCTCTTGCCGAAGTGCTTAAATAGCCATCTCACTCGCACCCAGCAGCAGTCGGCACTACGTTCAGCAACAGCTAGCTTTGTCTCTTTCTCGCACTCTGAGGGAGAATAGTTACAACGCAAACTCATGCGGATCATAGTGTTACAACAACTCTTTACAAGCTCTCTGTCCCTCACTAATACTACTGCAACAGCAGCAGCCAATCACGAGACATTTAAACGACATTGTAAAGAAAAGGAAAGCTATGCTCTTCTCAGCTAAGCTAAACGTTGAATTATCGTCGCTGATAGCGAAATGTAAGCAATAATTATTTAATACTACAAAAAAGAAAATCCGAAAAAAATTATATCTTAAATTTAATCGCAATAAAAGATTAGCATGGATATATAGAAAATTGTATACAGTTGTCGTTGCCTGTGAACCGTTGTTATTCAGCTCATCTCATCATGTTATCTCATTATTTTTTCAATAACCTGTGCAGACAATTTACAAGGCCAGAGCAAAGGTCAGGGGCCTCGCAACAGTCTCTGCGGCAAGAAAGCACAGAAATCCGCCCTCAAATGGGGCAGTGGCGTGTGGCGGGTGTCCTCTGTTGTTAGACAACTTACATTGCACGGTAATTAAATCAATCATACGCCCCGTATTGGCAGTAAAGCGCGCAACACGCAGCAACAGAGGCAACGGCAATGGCAAGAAATCCGAAGAAGCCGCGAAAAGTGGGCTACAACAAAACAACACAACAACAAGTTGCCTTAAGATGGTGGCAACACCCACGCAGACACCTGCAAATACTCACGCGTCGGCGCTTAGCATAAATGAATATTTATAATTCTGTGTCCTGGCGCCGCGCCTTCGCTACCGACTGAGCCGCAAAGTGCTTTCGAGAGTGCAAAAATATTTTTTTATGAATATTTATTTGCTTTTGAAATCGAAGTTATGCATTTGTTGCTGCCCTCTTCAACTGCCTGCTACCTGTCGGCCGCCCCGCTGCTCTACTTCGCCCCCCGCTCCACCAGCCCCCTTCCTCTTCAGCAGAGGTCGTCAAAGTTTTTGGCCCTTCGCCCGAGAGCCGTGCGCTCTGTAAAGGTGCGTAAGACAATTTAATTTATTTGACGCATTAAAGCAAAAATATTAACGCTATAAATCAATAAAAAATCATGCAAGACGCGTCCGGAGGCAGCCAAGAGGTGCAGAAGTTTCTTTTCATTGCGAAATATTTTATTTTTATTTAAGTATGCTGCAAACTTTGTTCTGCTTTTGCTGCTTTTTTTTTTTTTTTTTTTGTTTGCAGCAGCAACAGCTTCTATTAATTTATGTGCCATTTGGAGAGCCTTTCCTCAAAGCCCAGTCCAGCACCGCACCGCCCCGCCCCCCTCAGCACCAACAGGCCGTGCAGTATTTTTATGACAGCTGCAAAATTATGGCAGTCAAAGTTGCTTTATGTGTCTTATGGCTCTTATGGGCATTGCACTTAATATTCGCCAGCAACTCGCATTCTCATTCTCATTCTCATTCGCATTGCAAATTCAATTTTAGTACATTATTCGCTAATCTCTACTCTGCCAGAAACTTTAAGGC